GACTGATGGACAAACAGAAAGAACCATTCAAACTCTGTAAGACTTATTGAGATTGTGTATCCTTGATTTTGGTGGAGGTTGGAAATCTCATATCCCTTTGATAGAGTTTGCTTATAATAATAATTTTCAAGCCAGCATAGGGATGGCGCCTTATGAAGCCCTCTATGGAAAGAAGTGCAGAACACCTCTTTGTTGGGCAGAAACTGGTGAGAGGAAAGTCATTGGATCCGATCTTGTTGATGATGTCACAAACAAAATCAGATTAATCAGAGTTAGGTTGCTAGCAGTTCAAGATAGACAGAAAAAGTATTATGATGTTAAGCACCGCTTTGTGGAATTCAATGTGGGAGACTATGTTTTCATAAAGATTAGGCCGATGAAGGGTGTACTTCGTTTTGGCAAGGTTGGCAAACTTAGTCCCCGCTATATTGGTCCTTTTGAGATAGTGGAAAGGATTGGGAAGGTGGCCTACAGATTAGCATTACCCACTACATATGTTGTCCACAATGTGTTCCATGTTTCGTCACTGAGGAAGTATATATCGGATGATCCTTCTAAGATCATATCGGAAGATGTGGACTTACAACCAGATCTTACATATGTTGAAGAACCGGATCGTATTCTGGAGTTTAGTGTGAAACAACTTAGAAGCAGAGAGATACCGTTCGTGAAGGTTATGTGGAAGCATAGATTGGAGAAGAATGCTACGTGGGAGAAGGAGTCAGAAATGAGGAAATGTTATCCTCATCTTTTTGAGTAAGGTATGATTGTTGTTTTTCTCTCTTTTCAATTTCGTGGACGAAATTTTTTTTTAGAGGGGGAGAATTGTAAAACCCGAAATTCATCATTTGAGTGCGTCGCACGCATATCGATGCGCCGCGACGAACTTAAGTGAAATTTCGACGTCGTCGGAATTCGGCGAAATAAATTTCATTAGATTCGTCTCGAATTTCGAGCGAAATGGTATAAAGAACTTATATCAAATTTAGCTCGGTTTGGGAGTTAAAATTTGCCGAAGATCGTTT